AAACTCTTGAAGATTCATTTTGTCTGAAGGGTACAACAACGCTCGACATCAGCAAGGACATCATCTTTAATGCTTGCTTGCATCGTTAAACAACTTCCAACGAATCCGAATTCTATACACAGCGATCACAATCCATATAAATATAACGAAAACAATATTCAACAAACAAAGCATCGATCGTCTTCGAACCGTATGTCACACAAGGCGCGTATTTACAGTATGTAGAAAAGCCTTCTCCCGAAAATTTCTTTTTTTTCGCTTTTTTTCGGATATAGAAATTGATCGAATTCGAATAAAACTTATCACACTTATGAAAACACCGTACGACGCCCGTTCGTTACTGTAACAGCTCGTAAATTTATGATCTTACATACAATTAAGGACCGGGAACTTCTCTCGCTGTCCATTGATCCATCCATCCATATATATCGCTAATTAGTATCACTTACTCGTCTACATGCAACGAACGAGAATGGAAATGATCTATAAAGCGAAAGTAATGAAAATAACAATGATGGCTTTTCCTACGCTTCTACAAAGAATAATAGCCATGTTATACGTCTACCATTAATAGATTAATAATACACGACCGTCGAAATCTTATAGATGATTGTTTTTCCATTCCTTCGTTTCCTCGAATTTGTTCTGAACTCTGGAATTCGCGCCGAGCATGCTTTTTCACGTTTTTCAAGAAAGGTTCAACATCGTGTCAATCATCGTGTTTCTCATCACGACGAATTTCTATTTTTACTATATCGTTTTTAATTTTCCTGTCTTCTTATACTCTCGACTCCTCTTAATTGTATTAGCCTCGTAGTGCAGCGAATTCATCGAATTCGGAAAAACGTTCGAGCTGCCTCAAAGTTCTTGGGAAACGTAATACATCTACCAGATACGCCTTAACTAAGACGACATCAACGCTATAACATCGATCATATATCAACCGCACGCTAAGCAGAGAAAAGGAGAGACGATAGCGATGATAGTTGCTGCCTGAAAAATTCTTAATAAACGATGCAGTTGTTGAACAATCGAAACACGAGTTTCTTTTTATCAAGCTTAAATTAATCGTGATGCTTTTGTCTGACTTGGAGAAAGAAATTTGTCTGATTTGGAGAAACGATTTTACAAATGGTTACAAAAGTCGAACGGAGTCAAATGGCCTTGCGTGCGAAATAAATTAATCTAGGGTTAGACACGATATACCAATTAATTTTGGTTAGTTATTTATCGCAGATCATTTTGTTAACGTTAAAAAAAATCCGTTAAGAAAGTATATGCAAAAATGATACTCGATATTCGGATCTGTAACGTTGCTTATTTCTCTAAAGCCAGCTTCTTCTCCTTATCGTCTATCCTTATGTTTAAAACGATGCGTTTACAATATATATATATGTATAACGTATTATTTATTTTTAATGATCGATATCGCGCGGCTAAGTTACTTAATTTTCCTCGTTGCTTCAACTAATAAACAAAACATAAATATATTTCATTCTCTTAGAAAAAAAGAAGAAGGAAAAGAACAGAAATATAACATCACAATTACTCCGTTTGTCATTAATACAGTAATCATCGTTTAAAAATCGTCAAGAATAAACTGATGTGATTATGGCTGAGACACACATACGTTATATATAAGTATATATATACATATATATCTATATATATCATGTTGCTCTTTATGGCAATGTTTCATTTTTTTCGTACAATACGCGACACAAGCGTCAAGAAAACGCAATGAACAACTTACAAAAACCAAAAATCGCGGCCTGCTTTATCATTTCCTTTCTTTTCTTTTTTCATGATTCGTGATAAAGCGTACACTTCTGCCATAACTAATATATATTCTTTTTTTTTTTATATATATATACAGAATAAATTAACGAATACCTAATACTAAAAAAATGATTACAATGCATCTGAGAGGATTAAGTTTGCTCTTCAAGACGCTCGCAACTTTTATTCCTTTTCCTTATCGCTGAAAAACTTTCAAGATGCTTCCAATGCGATATGTTCGCTACTTCATACTTTTAATGCTGTCTTTTTCCTTTTTTTTTCCTTTAAATTATTTTCTCTGCTTCCTCTTTTATCACTTTCTGTAAATAAGTAAGTGATTTAGATACTTGAAACTGAGAGCACCACTTCTCGCAAAAATACCTGAGCGGTAAATGTTAGCACCAATTTCATTTCAATTAAATACATCACAGTACATAGTCGAATGGAACTGAGACGTGTTAATATCATTGTGCATACGGGAGCATCTTGTATATATACTAATCCTTGCGGCAATAATCATTTATCGTACATACTCGCACTAGGCCGACTTTAAATGACTGTTCTCCAAAATATCAAATACATAGTTAAAAATTTTATTATTTCATAAAACCTAGAAATGTGCATACTCTTCAATGTTCAACATGCAGATCCAACTTTTATGGAAAAAATTATATTTAAACGTTACTATGGTATTAAATAAAGTAAAAGTTAAAACTTTTTATATCTGGATATCGCAAGTATATACGATATACATTGCTTCCACTTCCTCTTTAACTTCACACAATATTACACGTATTGAAAACCTATCTGTACGCGATTCGCTGACTGCTATATATTGATCCATACATGATGCGCTAATAATTAAACATAAATATAAGTGAGATCGTATAAATACTGTAGCCCGAAGTGTAAATTACTCCAATTTTTGTCGTTCTTATTTCCTCAATTTCTTGCAGAGAATTAACAATTGTGGTTTCAACACATTGCGCCAAAACTTCTTGACACTTCGTTCAAAAACCATTGAAATAGTACTTAATCGTAGTTATTCTCTACTTTCATCTGGATTACATTTTGTATTGATAATGATCGTATGACAAAGATTACGATTACAGAATAGCGGTAGCCTTTAAATACAGTCACGAAATAGAAATACCAGCTAAAGCTATGTATTCAGGTATGTTATTCGATGGAAGCCTATAAATACTTAATCCGAGTACAAACCATTTCCTTTTAAAGCTGTAAACATTAAAACAGTTTACTATTTTTT